GGTGCTCCTGTTCTCTTCGTCCGGAAGAAGAACAAGGACCTGCGGTTGTGCATCGACTATCGCAAGCTCAACGCGCAGACGATCAGGAACGTCAGCCCTCTCCCACGCATCGACGACCTTCTCGAGCGATTGGGCGGCGCCCAGTTCTTCTCTAAGCTGGATCACAAGTCAGGGTACCACTAACTCGAGATTCGCAAGGAGGATCGCTACAAGACCGCGTTCAAGACACATTATGGGCATTTCGAATGGCTGGTCATGCCATTTGGCCTTACGAATGCCCCAGCCACTTTCCAAGCGGCTATGACAACGGAGTTCCGACACATGCTAGATCGGTTTGTACTCATCTACCTCGATGACATCTTGGTGTATAGTCGGAGTTTGGACGAGCATTTGGAACACCTGCGCACCGTTTTGGAGCGGCTACGACAAGCCAAGTACAAAGCAAACCGCGACAAGTGCGAGTTCACACGACAGGAGCTAGAGTACTTGGGAAATTATGTGACGCCGCAAGGCATCCGTCCGCTCGCGGACAAGATCGAGGCCCTACAAGTATGGCCCGAGCCCACCAACACCACGGACGTTCGTTCATTCATGGGGTTGGCGGGCTACTATCAGCGATTCATCACCGGATACTCCAGGATTGCTGCACCTATGACGAGGTTACAGTCGCCAAAGGTGCCATTCGTATTCGATGATGCCGCACGCCGGTCATTCCAAGCACTTAAGACGACTATGCTCATGGCACCCGTCCTTAGCATTTATGACCCCACCCAGCCGACGCGAGTGACTACAGACGCTTTCGGCTATGGCATTGGGGCAGTCTTGGAACAGCACGACGGCGACGACTGGCACCCTGTGGAGTATTTCAGCCACAAAGTGCCTCCCATCAACTCGCTTGATGATGCAAGGAAGAAGGAGCTGCTCGCATTCGTGATGGCTCTCAAGCGCTGGCGGCACTTCCTCCTTGGGTGTCGTAGGTTCACATGGGTCACAAACAACAATCCATTGACCTACTTCAAGACACAGGACACGGTGAGCAGCACGATCGGACGATGGATGTACTTCATCGACCAATTTGACTTCACACCGAAACATGTCCCCGGCCTCTCCAATCGCGCAGCAGATGCACTCTCGCGAAGACCTGATCTTTGCGCTATGTCACATCATGCCTTCGCATTCGACGAGGAGCTTTAGCGACACTTCATCCGGGCATATCAGTATGATCCGGACTTCGGCACGCTCTATGCACAACTATCTTCGGATCACCCGCCGACCAGCCATTACCGCATTGTCGACGGGTACTTTCTCCTCCACTCGAGAGGCAAGGACTTACTATGTGTCCCACGCGACCGTCGTCTTCGGACTCGCCTCCTCGGCGAGTACCATGATTCACAACCTGCCGGCCATTTCGAAGTCAACCGCACTATTGCACGGCTTCGACAGCGATTCCGAAGGCTTGACCTCATTACCGATGTCACTCGGTATTGCGACTCTTGCGAAGTTTGTCGACCCAGCAAGCCCCACAATCGCAATCCCTACGGCGAGTTACACCCGATGCCTATCCCACGGGAACCCGGTCTCCCTATTGCCATGGACGTCACCGGTCCGTTCCCTCGCGACCGGCTCGGGCACGACGGCATCCTCACGGTGGTGGACCGATTGAGTAAGTACGCGCGTTTTCTCCCTTGCAAGTACTACTCCACGGCTCCCGAGTTGGCACGCCTCCTGCACACTGGTTGGATTTGTGGCCACGGTGTACCAGAAGACATTGTCAGCGACAGCGACACTCGTTTCATGTCGGCGTTTTGGACTGCTCTCATGCAGGAGTCCGGCACAACAATGAAACCAAGTTCGGCTCGACATCCTCAGACAGAC